AATTAAGAAAATTGAAGTGTTACAAATCTACAAAAGGAATGGCTATTTTTGTGTATTAATGTTTTGCAGTTACTGTGAAAGGACTGATAGTAGAATATTTGATTATTGCACTTCTGGCAATTTTTAGCTGACCAACTCCTTGATAGTCTTATTTTTTCTAATTGATGTGCTATTATCTGTGTTGAAGATTTTTAGCACATGATTTAACTGCAGCCAGTGAGGGCTAGTGAAACCAGAAGCCAAAAATAACCAGTCATCACAGCTGGTTTAACAAAATTTTTCAGAGTAGATTGTTGATCTCCATTTCAAGGTTAAGAAGAAATGTTATTTTTCTGTATTTACTCAGCTGTGGAGTTTGAAGTTTGAGTGCATGAAAAGCTAAATGCAGCTATCCTCCAAACCACCATTCTCGACTTCCTCCTCGAGTTGTAGTCTTCAACTAGCCGATGGGATTGACCACTACATGAGTAGGTAGACCTGAGTTTTTTGACATACTCAGTAACTCTATAGGAGACTGGAAAAATACAATAATTCTGGTACTTCATTTTGAAATGTGTGTGTTGATAGTTAATGGGGTATCTTCATCTACTCCTGTTTTTGTAGGTTACAGTGAAGTGAGTATGCAGATTTGACCCATGTCTTCAACTTTATAGGGCTGCAGTCAATAATACTGTTTCCCTGGGAAAATCTACTACCATATTGCAAATGCTGTAACAATTTCTACTTGTTGGGAATACAGCTGAAGAATATAGTTTCATGGCTTTCATGTGGAATTGTAAATGTGATCCGCAGTGCTGCATTATATATGACACCTTTAATACAAGAATAGAAACATCCCTAGAAGAAAAGGTAGAATATTCACTCTTCTCTAGTCACAAACCACAGTTACCAGAGGCTTTATTCACTCGCAAACTCCAAACATTAAATTGTTGAAACTTGATGTTTTTTAAGGAAAAAGTCCTCTGAATGTAATATGAAATGCAAAATGTTAGTCTGTTAATAAATATCTCCAGATAATGAAGAAACTTGAAAAAATTCAGTTATTTAATTTGCTTTAGTAAAAGAAAGCAAAAAGCATTCATGATGATTGGCTAAAAGTTATTTCAGGTTGGTTAATCTTGATATCATCTGGCTCAGAATCCCAAGAACCTGTCGTATTAAGCAAGGCACTTTGTAATTTTTTTAGACATTAATAAACCCAAACTCAATTGCCACTGATACAGGCTAGAAGATAATGGTTTGAATTGTTCTGTGCTTAGAAATACATTTATTGTCCCAACCTCAGTCCTAGTCAACACATACACATACACACTACATTCATCTATAGAACACACAATCATGAAGAGGCTTTCTCATCTGATTCTTTAGTTACTACCTCTGTCTACCCTGTTGTTTGGAAAGAAGAAGAAAGGTAAAAAGTGGGAGTCAAGTTTACAGTGATTTATGGGGACTTACGCCAGCCACACTCTCAGGCATTAGAAAGTCCAGAAAAGGAACTTTGACCCTCACTGTCAACTCTCAAAACTATTTTGTTTGCTGTAACCAAATGTTACCCATGTTATATTTTTATTGTTGTGGGCAGAAACCTGAAAACATTTTCTGTGAGTGGCCCTTAATTTCCTGCATTGATTTTAACAGAGTTGATTTGGAACTAACTGTAATTGTGTGGATGACAGTGCAATTAGTGTAGAATATATGTGTGGTGCTGATATGTTCCTGTTCTTGGTTTTGGTGTTTCATAGGTTGTAGTTTGCCAGACCAAATTTAACTCTAAGTTCTCTGTTTATAACATTGCCCAATTATCAAAGCTGGGATATATTATTACTGCCAGGTACTCTTGCTGTCAGTTTGTCTTGGTTCAACTATGGTTCCATTTGTACTTTACTGTAATATAGTGAATACATTGGATTGGGTTGTTAGTTTAACAAGCTCTCTGGAGAACACCTTCATGATGATGCATGTTGAGATATGCTAGGCAGCCTTAAAGTTATTTGCAGAAACCTACAGAAATTTATTCACTAGAAATTTTTAAAAGAATAAACTCTCAAGCTAAAGGCAAGGTAAAGATTCTCTTATATGATAATCTTCTAGAACATTTGTAAATACAGGTGTTAATTCATGAGTCTCAGCCAGATTTCTTTAGGGTTTTTGATTTGACATTTCTCCTTTCTTATATAATTCTACTGGATGAGTTATTTTATGTCCTTTTAAAAAAAGTATTTTGTTAGTTAAGCTGTTACTGACCCTTATGCACTGTGCAGCTCATGGTGTTATGGGAACTCAGTGATCTTGGCCAGATACTGAGTTAGGGGTAATCAGAAATTAGAACTGACTGGACTGTTAATATTTACATTGTGCTCAGCTAGTTTAGAAAAGTACAGTAACTTCCTCCTATGTCCACCCCAATCTACTACATCAAAATTTCCAGAGTCAGGGTTTGGGAACTTATATTTTTAAAAATGATCCCCAGGACTTTCTGGATGTTGGGAATGTTCTAATATTTTGATCTATGGCCGTTACACAGTATGTATGTGTTAAAATACCTCAGGATGTACATTTAAGTTCTATACACATCATTCTAATATTGCATTCTCTCAAATGTTACACTCTAATTTTAAAATTTCCTTGAAAAAAAAACAAACACCGCATTTTCTCACTCATAAATGGGAGTTGAACAATGAAAACACATGGACACAGGGAGGGGAACGTCACACACCAGGGCCTGTTGGAGGGTGGGGGTCTAGGGGAGGGATAGCATTAGGAGAAATACCTAATGTAGATGACGGGTTGATGGGTGCAGCAAACCACCGTGGCACGTGTATACCTGTGTGACAAACTTGCATGTTCTGCACACGTATGACAGAACTTGGTATTATATGTGTGTGTGTATCTGTATACATATACACACGCACACACATATATAAACTGTTACTCTTCTGATTAAATAGTTTGCAGTAGTCGCTTGATGAACATTATTAAGCATTCACTGTCTACATAGCAGTGACCCAACAGTAGATAACAGTGTGATTCTTGATCCTTGGGAACATAAAATCAAGTGGAAGAGAAAGTGATGATATATAATATAAAGTTTTATGGTTTATGATACCTTGCTGTACAGATGGTTCATCAAAAGTCACTTATTGGCAATTTTACTATTTCCATTTTTTTGTTTGTTTTGTTAAAGAAACTGAGGATTATTTATCCAAGATTACTCAGCAAGTAGAGAGTAGTTGTCAGACTTAAACTCAGTCTTCTAAAAAGCCTATGCTTTTCAAGAAATAAGAAGGCTTCAATTAACAAAAACAAAGAAGCCTTACATGGAAGCAGAAGTTACAGCATTTTATGGAGCTACAGAAACCAATCCCAGGAGGGTTTTTGAGGATGTTGAGGCTGTGTTAGCTTTGCATGTCTCTCATTGTCTCTTCATGTTGCCTGTTTTCATGTCACAGTTTACCTTTTGAACCTCTGGAATTTTAATTCATGACACTTTTTCTGGTGAATGTGACATTTGTAGAAAAATGTTCTGTTGAAATACTCTGCTCTCTGGTCTGACTTTCGAAACTGCAATTTATTCTTGCCTTATTTTCAAATTCTTGTATTTCCAAGTAATACAAGCCAATGATGAATGTTCTCCTTCCTCATTACATATAGCATTTATTACCTGTTTCTTGTTCTTTGACACTTGGCCACTTTCCGTCTAGCTATTTATTGCTGTCATGTATTGTTCTTTATGTACAGAGGTTTTTTGGGTTTTTGTTTGTTTGTTTGTTTTAAGAAAGATTATGATCTCCCTGACTGTGGGACTAACCTGTGTGGTGACACGTAGTAGGTATTTGCTAAGTGTTCTTTGAAGTCAACAATGTACTTACTTGGTTTTTCCTCTTTCAAAATTTCCCTTCTGTGTCTTACACTAACTAAGGGTTGTTGCTATTGTGGCCTTGTTATAGTAAAGAGTAAGCTAAGAGTGAACTTCTTAGGTGGGCTCTCCAAGTCCTTAAACCCATGAATCTCGGCACTGTGCACTCTAGGAACAGGTCTCAGAGCTCCTTCATCTTTCCCTCCTTTTCAGTGAGTAACTTACATGAATTCTTGTTGTAGGAGATACACAACTCTGCCAAGTAACCATGTTTTCCTTCTGCTAGTCACAGTCACCTGGGGACCCTTTTTAAAATAAATGTGTAACAGTTGCCTATGTGTTCTATTCCTTTATGATCACCACTGCCCATCCCAGGGCATGTCAGTGGAAAGTGTTGGGGTGTGTATCAGTATCAACCTCAAAATGTGTTGAAAGTCTTGATTTTGCAGAATGAAATTATTGATTTTCAAGCCTTCACTCACCCAACAACTGTATCTCTTGCATACTCTTGAATTATGCTTATGCATCAGATCTCTGGGCCCACCAAGATTGCATAAAGGGCCTCTTGTTATCATATTTCTTATAATGAAACTAGATGTTCTTCCTTGGTCAGCAATGCTTTCTTCTATGTGAAAATGATTCTTATTTCTTTTGACAAGCAGTTTATTGTTTCTTAAGGCCCTCCCTTTCTTACTATGTAAGGCTAGTTTTTCTGTAAATTCCAAGGTAGAGTGACTGCTGAGATACCAACCTAAGAGAGAACTCCTGCTCATCGTTCTGTGGAGGAATGCATCTTTCCAAACTTGTGGGTAATTTCCTCTCACCTAGATCTGAATTCTAATTAAATTTTTATTCTTTAACTTGTTAACGTTATGTGAGACTTGGCTGTTTTTTTGGGTTTTTTTGTTTTTATGAAAAGCATGTTATAATGTAGAAAGACTATGCATCTCTATAGACTAAACTGCTGAACTAAAATTAGGTCCTTAGAATTAACCCACCACCACCACTGTCTTTCCTACTACTTCTCGTCATTGTATTTGCAGGTTGATCTTTTCCTTTTTAAGTTTCTCTTTACTCAGGAAAGCAACTATATGGACATGTAAAGGATGTGTCCTGACTGATGCACCTGCCTTTCTGTTTCTAGGTGGGCCATGCACAGACACAGCTCATGTCTCATTAATCACACCAACAAAAAGATCCTGTGGTACAGGTATGTACGTCATTCTTATGTGAATTCATCCTTATTTGAATTCTTCACAGAAGTTAGCAACTGGTTCTAACTTGGTGTGCTTGTCAGGGTCTCTGATTTCTTCCATCAGTTGTGAGGTGATATATTATGTGCTTAGTATTGACAGTGGAGTGTCAGCAGAGGTCAGGGTCAGAATGATGTTTTTGGGGAGTCAGACTGACTGAGTAAATGCTGGCAGCTAGATCCAAGAAGGTGGACATCAATATATACATAATTTCTAATATCTGAAGAATGTTATTAAGACATAACAGAAATGCACATCATTGCCCAGTTTGTAGCATGTAGCTAATCTGAGGGCCAAGACTGAAATTTTAATAGTTTTAATGTAGAAAATCAGTGTTTTAAATTGACTATTGTAGTATCCTAGTATTTTTGGAAAATTGTTTTCTGTCATTTGATTTAAAGCCATGGATATACTGAGATTTCTCTTTTTAGATGCAGAGTCCCAAAAACATCTTTGTGCATCTGTGGCATTTTTATTAAACATAAAGTCATGAATCTTGTGTCACTCTAAAGAGCAGTCAGAATGCCCATTGTTCCCTTCGCCTATAGCTTAATTTATTTTAAGCGATATTTACCTTTTCTAATAATGCTGTCTGCTATTTAAAATATCTCAAGGATTATATTTGGAAGAGTCAAAATAATTGTATTGTTTTCCTAAAGGTCACAGAGTATTTTTCATAACTTAAAAAATCCTTGTAACTTAAAAAACCCAGCAGAAATAGCACAAACTATTTCCATGTACAAGCTTAACACTGAAACCTCAGCTCCTTTAAATGCTCATAGTTTGATGCTAGGCCTCAGTCAGGCCCATGTTTGCATAGTTTCAAAGTAACATCCAGGCACTGAACTCTAAGGAACTCAATTGTACTCTTCTCTTCCAAATGACCAGCTTTGAGGTAGGGTAGGGGGTATAAGATAGTCTTGGCATGCTCTTATCCCTCCTGTGCTCAGTTCCCAAGCTCCACTAGGTAGAGTAGATTTATCGTTTTTCCTGAGGTAGAAAAGAGCTGTGACTGAAGTGAGATAGACCATCCTGATTTTAGCCTGTGGGAAGTCAGAGAGCCAACTACCTGCCCACTCCAGCCAGAAGCTTGAAAACATTCAGAGTCCTTTGATTTGAGGTCCAGCACTTCAAATGCACAGTACTTTAGTCTTTGTCTTTCCTTCTAATCTTGGCCCTCAGAGAAGGTTTTACTGTTAAGCACTACCACTGTGTTCAAGTAGCAGTCAAGGAGTTGAACCTTGAACACAGTGGGTCATCCTGAGAGGTTTGGGAAGGAGACTCATATACTCAGATGCTGAAACTAGCAGGAAACTCTGATGAATATCATTTACTTGTGTCTGTCTCCTAGGTAGATCTGTTTCCTCCTCTCTGATCCCATACTATTTTGTGTATCTAAAACTAATAATGATATTTCTTATATGCTTACTACATTGCCAGGTACTATTCTCTATATTTTATATACACGGTGATTTAATCTTCAGAACAGTTCTGCAAGATAGTTATTATAATTCCTCTTTTACAGATGAAAAAAAATGTGGGCACTCATAAACTTAAGTATATTTTCTGAGGTAATATTGCTAGTAAGTGATGGAGCCAAGACTTGGACACGGATCTTTAAGACACTAAAGCCTGCATTGTTTTCCGCTATATCATGCTATTGCTTTTCATATTTTGTAATTGTTTCTTCTCCTAACCAGATTGTGGAAAAGCAGACTGTTGAATGAAATATGGAAAAAACAAAACATATATTTGGAAGTATAGCATACAGTCAAGTAGTTTGAAAATGTGAGTTCTAAAATCACATCTGGTTTCAGATCTAAGCTTAGCCACTTACAAGTTGTGATTTTAAGTAAATAAGTCAACATCTCAAAATTTTGTTCTTCATCTGTAAAATGGGATGATAAATCTCCCAGGTTTGGTGTAAGAAAAAAAGAGTATGCTCACATAGTAGACCTTCAATTACTGGTAGTTTCCATTGTCTTAATGAAGATTATGTCTTTATAGTGAGCCACCCTTTAGATGGTGTTGATAAACACATCAATGGGTATCTTAGGCAGAAGAAAGAGTAAAGTAGAAGTACTGGCATTCTTTGCTGTACTCAGTTTTATGACCTGATTTTATATTGATCATGTTCTTTGTTACGTGTCGGTATTATACTGGCAATTGAAGGTGGTAATATTTAGATCTCCATTAGTGAAATGATAGGCATTGAGCTCTCAGTCATACCTTTGTAGGCCTTCATTTAGGTGAATACATACCTCTCTTAACTAGAAAAAGATTGAGAATTTCTGACTTGGAAGGAAATTAATGCAATGTCCAGGTCATCTCCTAAAAAGCCTGAAGGAAAGTTGAGATTTCTCAGCAATGGACATTAAAGGTCGTCAAGTTAAGCCGTCTGAAGACTGTTCTGTGCCCTCTTAGGCTAGCCAGACTGCCTCAGCCTTAAATATTGGCCCTGATTCTAAAGGACAGAGCTTCCTGATTTTGAGAGGTAAATTAAAGAATTTATTTTGAGAACCACAGGTTGACTGTCTTTGTCTCCATCTTTCTCTGTGTCCTGCAGTCAACAGGTTGCCCGTGGTGGGGATTTCAATCATTTTTCTTCTGAACCACCAATTATTACTGTTATTTTGCTGGAATGTTCCTTGTAGCCTTTATGTCTAGGTTCTTCAAGTTAGGATTCATGTCTATGACATGTGCTGTACAGTGCTTCTATTATAAGGGGGTCTCCCAGACAGAAACCACATGGGCCTTCAGGCATAGATGGTAGTAAATAATTACTTTACAGTGGTGTCATTTCTTCGGAGACACAGAGTGACACCTTAAGTGAGATCTTACCTACCTCCTCCCAGCCAGTCTATCCATACAAGTTTGGACCTAAAGCAGCCTTGAGCTTCATAAATGATGTTTGTTAGAAAACGGATACTGATATTAGACTAAGGTGATTCTTTAAGTCTGCTGTCTCTGACAAAGGGCACACAATGTACTGTCTGAGGTGTGTGGAGACAATAGCAAAAGCTCTTTATCTCAGCCTTAATTTATGTTTTGCAAATTCACTTTATTATATGTGTATGTGTTCATACATTTACTTTTATTTATTTATTTTTATTTTTTAATAGAGACAAGGTCTTATTATGTTGCCCAGACTGATCTCGAACTCCTGAGCTCAGGCAGTCCTCTCGCCTTGACCTCCCACAGTGCTGGGATTACAGGCATGAGCAACCTCTCTCAGTCTGCGGTTTATAAACAGTTTATAAACAGCAAATACACCCACAAATATATACATATTAAAGGTACATGGCCAATTAGATAGGACTATGCAGTTGAAAAAGGTTAGTGACTTCTTCAGTAAACAGATCATTTTCTTCTTAGTACTTTGAAAATTAGCTCTAAGGATTAGCATTAGACCCATTATTATGTGGTTTAGTAAGTGAAGACCTCAGTGGTTGATTAATCAGTCACGATTTGTATTTCAAGCAATTACAGTTTTGATCAGGTAAAGGGTATTGTCATATTTTAGAGGTGGGCAGCAGTGTAGCATGGTTGGTCTACAGCTATCAAAAGGAGAGAGGCAACTCTTTTTAAGAAATTGTTTTGTCATCACTGTGAGTCTATGATGCAGATTGCAAAAAGTAGCTATAGTAGCAAATGAAAGATCAGTTTGTCTTTGTGAGATAGATGGGAAAGACTTTTCTTTATATGATGGCTTTTAGCCAGACAGAATTATTACCAGTTAAACTCTGTAATCTTTAGATTTTTTTTTTTTTTAAAAGAAGCAACACCATGATCATTTTGGTATTTAAACAGAGAACAATTAGATAGATGAAGGGTGTGTGGTTGTCCACTCCACCCTACCCCTACCATCTTTGTGGAGTTCTAGGATCTCCACAGTCAATGAAGAGTTGAAAAGTACTGCCAAGTCCTAGGTTGCTTTTGGTTAGAATGTGTGAGTTAAAGCACATCACACCTTAAGATTACTAGACAGAGTTTACATTTCTTCAGAGAGCTCAGAATTTTTCCACATGTTCTCTTGTTAATTCTCGCAACATTCCTGTCAAGAACAAGTATTTTGTGAAGGAAAGAGATCACTTTCCTTGGCAACAAACTACCAGAAGTTTCCCTTTTGTCCTTCATTTCTAACCATCAAGTTATACCTTCAGCTAATAAAATACTGTAACCGGAGTTATAGTCATCTCCTTTAGATAATTTTATTTGGAAGGTGTTTGGATATTTAGCTGGCTATCTTCATGACATTATGTTTTTATGTTTAAAGTGGGCACAGATTCAATGCAATCCCTATCCAAATACCAGTGACATTCTTCACAGAAATAGAAAAAAATCCTAACATTTATGTGGAACAACAAAAGACCCAGAATAGCCAAAGCTATCATAAGCAAAAAGAACAAAATAGGAGGAATCACATTACGTGACTTCAATTTATACTGCAGAGCTATACTAACCAAGACACCCTCAAACTGGCATAAAAAGATACGTAGACCAATGGAATGGAATAGAGAACCCAGAAACAAATCCACAGTGAACTCATTTTTGACAAAGTTGCCGAGAACGTACACTGGAGAAAAGAAACTCTCTCCAATAAATGGTGCTGGGAAAACTGGACATTCATGTGCAGAAGTATGAAACTAGACCCCTGTCTCTCTCCACATACAAAAATAAAATCAAAGGGGATTAAAGACTTAAATCTGAAACCTCAAACTATGAAACCTACTACAAGAAAACATTGGGAGAAACATCCAGCACATGTAGATAATATTCTCTCTGATAGACTTGAAAAAGGATGGTTAAAACATGCTGTGTGTATGTTTAAAATGTGATTATAATTAGTAGAGCAGCAAATAAAATAACTATTTGTGAGGCCATAGGGGAGCTGTAGAACTGTTGAGGTTAAAGCAGATGGGACTAAGAACAGTCCTGTTAAATATCAAGGCAGTTT